TATGTCTTATAGGGTTTTTACAGTTATACAATATTGCACTCAGTATAAACCCTATAAGACATAAATTAAATGGAGATCTTTTTAAAGGTTAAAACATCATTTAATTTATGTCTTATAGGGTTTATACTGAGTACAATATTGTATAACTGTAATAATTCAACTGTAAACCTAAAAATTTACAGCCAAATTTGAAAGAGATGCATCCTACCTCAGGAAAATGTTATTGAATATGTCAATTGTGTTGTAATGATATGCTTCTTCTAAGTATGTTGTTATTAAATAAATCATTTTTAAAAATTAAAAAAAAATTTTTTCATTTATTTTTATGTGTATGAGTGTTTTGCCTGCATGTACCCGTGTCGTGCAATGGCCGTGCAGGTCAGAACAGGGCATCAGCTCCTCCAGAACTGGAGTTAAGGACAGTTGTTAACCACATTGCGGGCGCTGGGAACCGAACCCAGGTCAACTGAAAGACCAGCCAGTGGTCTTAACCACTGAGCCAACCATGAAGCCTCCTGAATTCTTCTTTCAACTCGTGAATTCATTTCTGTTTCTGAGGTCAGATGACCAGTTAGGCTTTCTCAGAGATTCATTTGACAGCTCTGTGGGGTCTTCCTTTAAGCTTGGCAGGTACCTGTAACCAACTGCTCAGATATCTAGACACAAACTCTGCCAGGCCTCGCCCTCAGCCTCTAAATTCTATCACTGTTCTTTGTTGTATTCCTAAGTGAGGTCATCGTTTCCTGCAATTACTGTATCTCTGATCCATTCCCTTGGCATTTAAACTGTAAAGATAAAAATCATTAGCCCGGCATGGTGGCACATGCCTTTAATCGCAGCACTTTGGAGGCAGAGGCAGGTGGATCTCTGTGAGATGAAGGCCAACCTGGTCTACATAGTGAGTTCCAGGCCAACTGGGGCTCCAGGAAGACCCTGTCTCAAAAAGACAAAAAAAAAAATCACACCAATTCTTCTACTATTGGGGTGCTACTTTGCACCCAAGCTGTTGTAATATTTGAATTTTGTTTTGTTAAAGAGATTTTTCAAAAAGGCTAAAGTACTGGTATACCAACACTTATGAAGTGGAAGAGACCTAAACTGGTCCTTCTTTGTCGTCTTTACACTTTCTCAGGGTGAGAGAAACATGGACACAGAAGATGAAAAGTCACACTTTCATCCTCCAGGAAAACTGGGCCAGTAAGAAGCTAACCCTCCTCACAGCTGCTACAGATATGTGGGAACATATTCACACGAGGGCACTTAGCCATAGAAAGCACAGGGTGAGCAAGTTTTCCCTGTTACCCCTGTGACCTGATTTAGAAGGAACAGATGAGGGAGGTGGAAAGAAGAGAAACAAGTAAAAGTATTCTAGAATAATCCTGCACAGAAACAAACTGGGGTCTTCTTGGTTTTCTTTGTAAGTGGACCTCTTATTTTCCCATTTTATTCTATCTTAATGCCCAGTCTACAAAGCAAGGATCCATGTTGCTGATGAGATATAAGCTTTATTAATATACAGCAAATATTGTTTATTGCAGACTCTTTCCAGCTGACTCGTGAAAAAGGCACTATGAAAAATTAATGGATCTAGGTAATCTCTCTAAATGGATTTATGTTAAAATATACAACATTCTTACATAACATCTTCTTTATATATGTGAAATAATATAACATTTAATGACAAAAATCAGGTTTCCAAAAATAACATTTGTTGAAGGTTAGGTATCTTTCTTTTCTCTAGCTAGAATCTTTCACGGGGTTAAAGTACATGTAGTTAACCATTCCTTGTTACACAGAGAAAACACACAAGACGGCCCCAATATCCTTTTACTACTTATATCAGTATTCATAAACGAGGCCTTCATTAAACAAAATACTGTGATGCACACCAAGGTCGGCCACTTCTTTGACTGATTCTGAGCATATACAACTTCTTTCCCAATTGTGCTTCTTCGTGTCTAATCACACAGTACACAAAATAAGGAGAATAGAAACGAAATCAAAGTACAAGCTATGCATGATTTCACAATCAACAGAGCTGTGAGAAACAAAATGTCTTGGAATGCACTATAGCTTTATGTTTGCAAGGTCAAGGTCTGGCTGCACTGTACAGTTCATTAAATGCTTTTGTTTTAAACTGTTGGCATTAAGAACTTGAAATAACTAATACTTGTCATTGGGTATGTCAAAGAGACCTAAGGCAAGCAGAGGCTAGTCTAAGTGAGCTTTCTCCCTGAAAGACGGACATCTTCATCACAGAAAGCTGTACGTAGGATTTTGAATGACAGGCACGTCTTTTCTTTGTTGCAATGAATAAACGTGCCATTGTCAAAATATTCCTACTTATATAATGAAACGAGGCTAAAATAATGTAACAAAGGGAACTGAGTCTTAATAAAGTAAGGAAAATGTTTCCCAAGGTCAAAATGATCAGTCTAAAACATTTCAGCCTTTTTCTAAATTCAATTTTCTCTCTAAAAGTTCTTTAAAATTACATTTATTTATTTGCCAGGCGTGGTGGCACACACCTTTAATCCCAGCTCTTGGGAGGGAGAGGCAGGTGGATCTCTGTGAGTTTGAGGCCAGCCTAGTCTACATAGTGAGTTCCAGGACAGTTGGAGCTACAGGGAGACCCTGTCTTAAAAAGACCAAAAAAAAAAGAAAGAAAGTTACATTTATTTATTTGTCTGTATGTGGGGCACGGCTGGAGCTACAGGGAGACCCTGTCTTAAAAAGACCAAAAAAAAAAAGAAAGAGAGAAAGTTACATTTATTTATTTGTCTGTATGTGGGGCATGTGTGGAGGTCAAAGGACAACTTGCAGCAATCAGTTCCCGCCTTCTACCATGTGGGTCTTGGGAACTGAACTCAGGTCATCAGGCTTGATGGCAAGTACCTTTACCTGCTGAGACATCTTGCCTACCCACTCTTCGGGTTTCAATCAAAAGAATGGGCACAAAAGCAACAGATCCTCTGCTTACTTGGGTATACACTGTTTTCTTATGGCAATAAATTACATATATCAAGAATATGGATCTGACATTCCCTTCAAGGCTTCGGAAAACAAAGCAAGTAGAAACAATGCCAAGAATAATAGAGTTCAACAAACAAACAGCACATTAGTGACTGCTTCCTTCATCGAAAGATTCCACTCCCGAATCACTGGCAGCGGCGCTGATCTTTTCCTGTCGTCTCCGCATGATTTCTTGTAACTCAGAGCTGCCGCTGCTGTCCTGAAAAACACACGGTTCAGACAAGACAGTTACCGGTCAGATCAGCAAAGCATGTGGAATGCTCTAGACTTGCCCACAGGAAAAAAGATACATGTATAAGTACAACATACAGAGTCAGTTATTAAAGAACACTCTGCATGTGAACTTTCATATGTGTACATGTCATGTGGAGGCCCGAGCGCCCGGCTGATGCTTCTTTTTTATTTAAATATTTTATCTATTATTTTTATTTTATGTGTATGAGTTCAGTGCTTGCATATGTAAGTGCACCCATGTTGTATGATGCCTATAGAGGTCAGGAGAAGGCATCGGATCCTGTGGTACTCTAGCTATGGATGGTTGTTAGCTGTCATGTGAGTTCTGGGAACAGAACCCGGGTCTTCTGCAAGAACAGCCAGTGCTCTTAACCACTGAGCCATCTCTCCAGCCCCCACTTTATTCTTCTTAAGACAGGTCTCTCACTAAACTTGGAGCTCACTTGCTAGCCAGACTGGCCGGCTACCAAATCCCAGGGCTCCTCCTGTCTCTGCCTCCCCAGTGCTGGAATTACAGGCTTGTGCCACCATGCCTACCTATTCCCTAGGTTCATGGGATCTGAACTCGGGTCCGCATGCTTATGTAACAAGTATTTTCTCAACTTCCTACACCTCTCAAAGAATGTTCGAGACATGCAAAACATTAATCTTTATTTAAGGTATTTTCAAACAGGAGATTTTAAAGAGTGGGCTCAGAACGCATCTAGTTTCCCTTTCACACCAGCTTTCCTCACTTCTCAGCTCTACCTACAGTCTTGGGGTACCCACTCCTTACCCCCTCTATTGGCAGAAGCAACTGGAAACACCCAGGGAAACCTAAGGGAAGAACTAGAGCCAAGAAAGAGGAAGGGGAAGGCAGCTGAGGATCAGGAAGAAGCCTGAATCAGCTTCTGCCTCAGTGAACGCCCAGAGGAACTGGCACCAAGAGGCAGGCAGGTGAGCAAATGACAACCAGAAGGAGGGAATTCAGAAATGGAGGGATATAGAATTTTCTAGAATACCCCGAAGGACTAATTGATGCATTCTTAACAAGATTACAATGTATAATGGTAATAAAACTGCTTTATGGAAGATGTAATTCTTATGCATACTCTCTCCATAAAAAGCAATCCTCAAACTTTAATATAAAACCTTCCAGATCAATGTTGTAGGGAAGTTCTGACGATAATAGAATTTCTCTTGATTGAGAATAGTTACAGGATTATATATAAGAAGCTATTTTACCTTGAGTTATTTAACTGTTAAATTTACATAAAATACCTGCTGAAGATAATTAGGTATCAGTTTAATATAGAATCCTATATCCTTTTATTTGAGTCTAGGTATAATTTTCACAAAACTATTACCTCTTACAGAGTCTGTTTTCAATGGGGTATCTTGAGAATATTCAGCTAAGCAGACATTTATTTTCTTTCCTATTGATATATAGACAACTATAACTATATAATTATTCTTACAGTTCTATATTTTCTTTTTATGGATTTATTATACATATGTCATGTGTCTATGTCAGTGTATGTATGTGTGCGTGCATATGCATGCACCTGTACATGCAAAGAGGCCAGAAAAGGGTGACCAATCCCATAGGGTTGTAGTTATAGACATTTATAGGATATTTGAGTTGTTACATAGCTTCCAGGATCTGAACTCTGGTCCTTATGATTAAGTAACAAGCACTCTTAACTGCAAAGTTACCTCTCAACCCCTCAGCTCTTTATTTTCAATAATCTCACCTTAATATTTCTGATTCTACGGATGGATAACTAGGCTTAAGAAATGCAATAAGGGGTCTTGTTTGTTTGAAGAAAGGGTCTCATGGAGCCCAGACCCTCGGTAAACTCACTATGTAACTGACTCTGGTCTTGAACTGATTTTTTGCCTCTACCTTTCAAGTGTTGGGATGTTACAGTGCCACCACCAGGCCCAGCTACAGCTAGGTTTTTTTATTTCAAGATTTTATTTTTAATTTTAATTATATGTATATGTGTCTCTGTGTCAATATGTGCGCATGAGTGCAGGTGCTGATGGAAGCCAGAATAGAGTGTCAGATCATCTGGAGCTAGAGTTGCAAGTGGTCAGGAGTCCCCCAACATGGGTGCTGGGAACCAAACTCAGATCTTCTACAAGAACAGTGTATACTCTTAATCACTGAGCCATCTATCCAGTACCCCACAGCTAGAGTCTATTTTATAATCTATACTCTACTGGGCTCTCCAAACTAAATATTAACAATAGGAACAAGAGCTTTGTCCTCTTAGATATTTAGTCACTAAGATGTGAATTTCATTTCTCTTTAGCAAAATTGAAGTTTCTATAGCAGAAGTCAATGCAATAAAATGAAAACATTATGCTGTTTGTTCAATGCTCAAAAATACATCTTAGCCAGGTGTGATGGCCTTTAATTCTAGCATTAGGGAGGTAGAGGCAAGTAGAGCTCTATGAGATCAAACCCAGCATGGTCCTTGTAGCAAATTCTAGGCCAGCTGGGGCTCCAGGGAGACCATGTCTCAAACAAACAACAAAAAACTCAACTGAAAGGCAATCTCTCTGAAAATGGTCACTGATGATCTATAATGGCAGAGCTGTAAAAGCTAAGCCAAAATGGATTTAGCTCTTCGAGGAAGGTCAATTGGTCAATATGGAGGTGAATCTTTGTTTCCAGAGCTTTCAATGTGCAGTCTACACTCTCATCCAATTCAGAAAAATACCACCTCTGACAACTCTTACCTCCAAAGCAGCTTTCTGTACAGTGATTTGGCTAAAGACTCTGGCCCCTTCAGGGCAGACAGACCGCAGTTCATCTTTATTGAGAGAAAAGAGTTGGGCACCATTCAACACCCCAAGACTATTGACAGTTCTGAAACAAAAACAACAAAAGCAAAAATCAAAGCACTGAAAATGGTACCAAGAGGAAACTTTCTGTTTCCACTACTAATCTCTCTCCTTCCTCTCCCCATTCTCCCTGTCTCTTTATCTGTTTTATAATTCTTTATTCTTATTTTATGTGTATGAGTGTCTTGCCTATATCTGTGTAAGTGTAGCGATGTCATGTAATGACTGCAGAGGCCAGAAGAGGGGCATCAGATCCCCTGGAGTTATACCACCATGTGGGAACTGAATGTGGGTCCTTTGTAAGAGAAGCCAGTGCTCTTAACCACTGAACCATCTCTCCAGCCCCGTGTTTTGTTTTGGGCGCAGGGTCTCATGTAGCCCAAGTTGACCTAGAACTCTCTATATAGCTGGGATTGACCTTGAACTCTTGATCTTCCTGCCTCCATCTCCCAAGTGCTAAGATTACATGCGCAGGCCCTGCGCTTCAAACCTGGCTTCAAACCTCTCTTTTATTGTGTGTTCTGTATTATTAAATGGTACTACAGTGTTGAGTGGATGCAATGCCAAGGGAGGCTCACAATCATGACTCCTCTGCCATAAGATGATTTATTATAAGCACTGAAAAGGAGGCATTTGGGTTTAGTATCCTGACTGTTTAATATCAACTACCTCAAATTTGGTGTTTTCTATCCCTAGCTGGAATAGGTAGCTTTCTGGTACCATGGCAATTGACTAACCACTGCACCTTTTTACTTGTTGTTTGACTTTAAATTTTAATTTTTAA